ATCCTGTGTGATCTCATTGAGGTTCCTGCTCCTGCATTGGGGTTGGACTGGATGATCTTTCAAGGTCCCTTCCAATCCCTGATGTGATTCTGTGGTGATGGTGATGGTGGTGGCATCAGGGCAGGGGTGGATGTTCTTCTGCCACCCTTTCTTTAACCCAACCCCCTCCTCACAGACCACTGTCCCTCCTGGGGGGTTGAACTTCAACCGCTTCACGGAGGATTCGCTGCTGCGACACGCTCAGTTCGTGGTGGAACAAGTGGAAAGTTACGACGAAGCCGGAGACAGCGATGAACCCCCCGTCCTCATCACACCCTGCATGAGGGATCTGATCAAGTTGGCTGGTGTCACCCTGGGGAAGAGGTGAGCTTCATGTCCTCAAGTAGATGCTCACATTTGGGGGGTCACTTGGCTTTGCTGCATCTTGGTGGGTTGGTTTCTCATGGGCTTTACATGGGGGATCCTTCCAGGGAAACCCTTTAGCTTGATCCCAGCTGGGATGACCTGAAGATGTGGTCATCCTCATGTGGATGACCAGTGGCACGAGCAGCACTGGGAGATTGGAGCAGAAATCCTCCCCAAACTGGAACAAGAACCTCCCAGAACCTCTAAGTGCTGCCCTGAGGGAGGAAAGGAGCTGGGTTGGGTCTCCATGCTGGTTGTCATGCTCTAGTGTCCCCTGGGGACCCCGTGCCAGCCATGGGATGTCCCTGTTGGAGTGTCCTGCTGTGTTGGGGGGCACTTGGCTTTGCTGCATCCTGGTGGGTTGGTTTCTCATGGGCTTTACACAAGGGATCCTTCCAGGAAGGCCCTTTAGCTTGATCCCGGCTGGGATGACCTGAAGATGTGGTCATCCTCATGTGGATGACCAGTGGCACGAGCAGCACTGGGAGATTGGAGCAGAAATCCTCCCCAAACTGGAACAAGAACCTCCCAGAACCTCTAAGTGCTGCCCTGAGGGAGGAAAGGAGCTGGGTTGGGTCTCCATCCCGGCTGGGATGACCTGAAGATGTGGTCATCCTCATGTGGATGACCAGTGGCACGAGCAGCACTGGGAGATTGGAGCAGAAATCCTCCCCAAACTGGAACAAGAACCTCCCAGAACCTCTAAGTGCTGCCCTGAGGGAGGAAAGGAGCTGGGTTGGGTCTCCATGCTGGTTGTCATGCTCTAGTGTGTCCTGCTGTGTTGGGTGCCCTCAGGAGAGCTCTGTTCCCTCAGGACCCTCCCTGGGGACTGGGCTGTTTGTTGTGGCTGAAGCCATCAGCGTTAACGAGACACAAAGTCCCTTCTCACCGTTGTCACCTTGGTCACAGGCGAGCTGTCAGGAGACAAGCCATCCGGCACCCTACCAAAATAGATAAGGACAAAGGTCCTACCAAAGCCACCACTACCAAGCTGGTGTATCTCATCTTCGACACCTTCTTCTCGGAGCAGATTGAGAAGGATGAGAAGGAAGATGACAAAGAGAACGCCATGAAACGCCGGCGCTGCGGCGTCTGCGAGGTAACCAGGGCGGGGGGGGGGCTG